TGACCTTTTTCTTGGAACTGCTGGTACCAACGACGAACGCTCTGAGCTGCTGGAGGTTCACTGCCATACTAACAGCTAGAAACCCTATGACACCCTCTTTCAGTTGGATTGTGATTGGTTCCTAAAGGCGCCTCACGGTTGTAAAAACATGTCGCTTTAAAATCGGATGAATCTTTCTGAAATCACCCTGTACATATCGTTCTTTACAGAATTGGTTTGCTGATCTCTGTTCTAAGCAAACAACAGAAATTCCCATCTGATCGAGAACGATGAACGTCCTAATAACTACTGTAATAAAACATGATCATAAATAAATAAGAATCTCAAACGTGCTCGGTCAGCAAAAAAGGAGCCAAAGCCTAAACCTGTGTGTGCAGTTTATGTGCTGCAATCAGCAAAAACGTGGCCTAAAAAAAAGACTAGGAGGGTCAAAACAACAGCTTTGTCATGACCATCATTACCTCCATTAGGGTCAGCGGTGCACAAAGAGGTCACTCAGTGCCCAGCTCCCTTCCAATGGGACTGAATCAGTGAAGGCTGATTAAGTTAATTGGCTCATATGACCCCAGTTTCTTAGCAGGACCAGAACCTCTGGAAGAAGGCAAAGCAGCCACACCCGACCTACAGCATCACCTCGGTCATCCACGGAAGCTTCCGGTATGAAACACACGAGGAGGGATCTGTTCCAGCCAAATCTGTCCGCCATCATTCTTTCTGACGGTACTTCTCTCTTTTGCTCTGTGATCAAGACTTCACAGGTCAGGAGCTTCACAGGCTCAGCAGGGCGTCTCCACTCTGGCCCACGGTAAGCCCTTGATGCTGCGTGCCTCATGGCGAGGATAAAACACCTTTTTTAAAAAGTAAAAGAGCTCAGTGTTTCAACAAACATTCCCAGGGGAGTAAGTCAGGCGAGAGGGGGATCGACTTTTGGCGACGGGTATCGTTTCCTCGCTCCTGTCCCGATACAAAGCAAGGTGAAACGGTGACACTGGGCCAAGAAGCACTCATTAAATGACACAAATCCTGCTCCTTGTGGCACAAACGGGGGTGTGCTGCATTACCACGTTCCAGAAATGACAGTGAGATCCATTACATAAACTTGTCCTGACTGTGGAAGACCCTCCGGCTCCGGGTGGACAAATGATGCAATTCAAGACCGAGGCCTGGTGTTCAGCTTACTCTGCTCCACAGAGAGCAGGCCAATTCGGTTCTAGATGTGGCCACAAAGTGTTCTCTCTCTCCTTGGGCTTAGCAATGCTACGCAAATGAGCTGGCATTACTGAAAGGGGAATTCCACCACTGTTTCAGAATTTCTGTATAGGTCATTAGTTCGACATGTAGTCAAATTTTAAAAGGTCATTGGTTCGAGACGGTAAGTCGATATTACGAGAAAGTAAGTCGTTATTACAAGATATTAAGTGAACATCTTAAGAGAATATCATAAGTTCAATATAATAAGTCAAATTTTAAGAAAAAAAGTCATTATTTCGAGATAGTGAGTCAATATTACGAGAAAGTAAGTCATTATTTCGGGATAGTGAGTCAATGTTACGAGGAAGTAAGTCATTATTTCGAGATAGTGAGTCAATATTACAAGAAAGTCATTATTACAAGATATTAAGTGAACATCTTAAGAGAAGAGTTCAATATAATAAGTCAAATTTTAAGAAAAAAAGTCATTATTTCGAGATAGTGAGTCAATATTACAAGAAAGTCATTATTACAAGATATTAAATGAATATCTTAAGAGAAGAGTTCAATATAATAAGTCAAATTTTAAGAAAAAAAGTCATTATTTCGAGATAGTGAGTCAATATTACAAGAAAGTCATTATTACAAGATATTAAGTGAACATCTTAAGAGAAGAGTTCAATATAATAAGTCAAATTTTAAGAAAAAAAGTCATTATTTCGAGATAGTGAGTCAATATTACAAGAAAGTCATTATTACAAGATATTAAATGAATATCTTAAGAGAAGAGTTCAATATAATAAGTCAAATTTTAAGAAAAAAAGTCATTATTTCGAGATAGTGAGTCAATATTACAAGAAAGTCATTATTACAAGATATTAAGTGAACATCTTAATAGAAGAGTTCAATATAATAAGTCAAATTTTAAGAAAAAAAGTCTTTATTTCGAGATAGCGAGTCAATATTACGAGAAAGTAAGTCATTATTTCGAGATAGTGAGTCAATATTACGAGAAAGTCATTATTACGAGAAAGTAAGTCATTATTACAAGATATTAAGTAAATATCTTAAGAGAATATCAAGAGTTCAATATAATACGTCAAATTTCAAGAAAAGTCACTGGTTCAAGATGGTAAGTCGATGTTACGAGAAAGTAAGTCACTATTACAAGATTTTAAGTTAACATCTTAAGAAAATATCAGTTCAACATATTAAGTCAAATTTCAAGAAAATAAGTCACTGGTTTGAGAATGTAAGATGATATGAGAAAATAAGACATTATTACAAGACATTCAGTAAACATCCTGAGGAAATGTCATGAGTTCGACATAGTAAGTCAAATCTCGAGATAACTCATTGGTTCGAGATGGCAAGTCGACATTATGAGAAAGTATGTCATTATTACAACATATTCAGTCAACCTCTCAAGAAAAAAACATGAGTTCAAAATAGCAAGCCAAACTTAAAAAAAAATTAAGCATTGGTTTGAAAGGGTAAGTTGACATGAGAAAGTAAGTCATTACTACAAGATATTAAGTTAACATCTCGAGAAAACATCACAAGTTCAACATAGTCAAATTACAAGTAAATAAGTCATGGTTCGAGATGAGTCGAGTGAGTTAAGAATCAAGAAAATATTACAAGTTCCACATAGTAAGTCAGATTACAAGAAAATAAGTCATTGGTTTGAGATGGTAAATTGATATTATGAGAAAATTAAGTCATAATTCTTTTTAAGATATTAAAAAGAAAATGTCATGAGTTCGACATGGTAAGTCAAATTTTAAGAAAATAGGTCATTAGTCAGTAGTATTCTCTCTCCTTGTGTAGGACCTTGGGCTTAGTATTGTCAGGCAAACGACCTGACGTTATTTCAATCCGAATTTCTGTATAATTAAATCTTTAACATCTAAACAAAAGTCATTCAGAATGGTCTGAGGTAAAATGTGGCATTCTAGAAAAACTTAACACCAAGAATTGTTCACATTGGTGGTGACAGGAACCAGGACTCAGAATGTTTAGACTGTAAATACAGTCATTTTATAGTTATTTTATTTTTATATATGGGTCTTTGACATGATGTGCATTTTTGTGTCCAAGTAAATTATTTTTTAAAAAAGTTAATTAATAAATACATTAAATTATTTAACACTACCTCTTTTATGTAAAACAGTTTTCAGCGCATCTATATAAAATTAATTTTAGTTTTATTTTTTCCTCCAAAAGTCTAACGGTGCAACAATCCAACTATGAATCTGATTAAGCAAACTATCAAAAGGTAATTTAGTTAAATAAAATCTAAATAAAATAGTCTGGCACGATTTTATGTCTGAACACTTTAAAATAAAAACTATAAATTCAAGTGCCAGGACAAATTAAATGACTGCCTATTTAGTTTGAAATTAGTCTGAAAAGTCAGGTGGCGCAACCAGTGAGTCAAATGGAGCAACTAGACCAGCACAGTTTAAAAACTGCAAAGATTTGATAACACTCACTATATTTAAGATATAAAATGCACGTCAACGCAAATATATTTGCAGATATAAAAATGCACATCCTTTTCAATGAAATGTTTAAAAATAACCATTTTGCAAAACCTTGTCACCGACCCATATATTTGGTTTAATATTTCATATATTAAACCACAGAAAATAAGTCATAGGTTCAAGATGGTAAGTCAATTTTACAAGAAAATGTCATTAGTTTGACATAGTAAGTCAAATTTTAAGAAAATAGCTAATTGGTTCAACATGGTAAATCAATATCACGAGAAAATGTCATGAGTTCGACATAGTAAGTCAAATTTTAAGACAATAAGTTACTGAGTTGACATGGTTAGTCAATATTATGAGAAAATAAGTAATTATTACAAGAAATAAGTAAACATCTCACGAAAATGTCTTTAGAGGACATTTGAAGAAAAATAAGTCATTACCATATAAGTCGATACCATAAAAAATAAGTCATTATTACAAGTATACAACTCAAGAAAATATCAATACTTCGACATAAGTCAAATTTTAAGAAAATACGTCATTAGATCAACATGGTAAGTTGATATTATGAGAAAATAAGTCATTATTACAAGATATTGAGTAAACATCTCCATAAAATGTCAAAAGTTCAACATAGCAGGTCAAATTTTAAGAAAAAAGATCATTGGTTTAACAGGGTAAGACAACATTACGAGAAAATAAGTCATTATTACTAGATATTAAGTAAACCTATCAAAAAAATATCATTAGTTTGACATAATAGGTCAAATTTTAAGAAAATAAGTCACTGTTTCGACACATTAAGTCGATATTATTTGAAAATGTAATGCGTTTGACATAGCAGTCAAATTTTAAGAAAACAGGTCATTAGCTCGACATGGTAAGTCAATATAATGACAAATAAGTCATTATTACAAGATACTGAGTAAACGTCATTAATTTGACATAGTAAGTCAAATGGGGAAAAAAAAGTCATTGATTCGACATGGTAAGTCAATATTATGAGAAAATAGGTCGGTATTTTACCTACATCTCGAGAAAATATCATGAGTTTGTGACACTAAGTCAAAATGTTGACATACTGCCCCCCCCCCTCCCCTCCTCCGGACCCTCAGGAGCCCAGCACCTGGCGGGAACAGGCTTTCCCATCACCCCAGCGCGCACTGTTGTTTTTGGTAAGGTTAGCCACAAGCTACCGAGCAGCAGCGCGCGTGCTCGTGTTTTTCCAACGGTGACACAGCAGCAGCAGCTGGGCTCCCCTGGTCGAGAGGCGGCGGGGCAAAACGTCCAAATTCCGCTCAAAAACGCACTTACGTTTTCGGTGTCACGCTCGTTGACGGTCGGCAGAGGCGTCCGGGTAGACATTTTGGGTTTGGGGCCGCTGAGGAGGCGATGCGGCGAGGGACTGTGTGTGAACGGCGGCGGCGGCGGCGGCGGGTCTCTCCTCCTCCTCACAGCCCACTACATCTCTAACGGCATTTCAGACGGACGTGGCCGCCGACGGGAGTCGCTCATCGCCGCTTACTGCTATCCCAACGGGCCTCGCGAAGGACGAACACGGCTCCAGCCGAGGGGGGCGAGGTGGAGGAGATGCCGGTGAGGCGAGAGGATGTGTTGGACCAGAACCGGACACTCCGACGCAGAGGCGGCTTCTCATCTCATGAGCGAGGACGACGAACCGAACCGAGGTGGAGTGAATCAACGCGCGGAGTTTTTCTTTCCCACCTATATTCCAACAAGACCCGCCCACCCGCGCTGCGATTGGCTGACATTACATACGTCAAAGCAGTGTAGCCTATCGCTGCTCAGATGATGGGATTCTATTATCCAATCCTAGCAAAGGGGCGGGATTTGTCCGAACACGGGTGGGGAGAAGAAAAAGCGTCTTAAAGGGGAATTCCACCATCTTTTCAAAATTTCTGAACATGTGTTTTTGTGCGAAATGTTTGATTGTAGAGGCTCAGGTTTCGTTACAGTGGTGGTGATAGGAACCAGGGGTCACCATGACTACAACACAAATAGAGACATTTTATTTACTCTCCAGAACCACCAGTGAACCTACACGAGTCTTCTGAGTGTTTATATGGAATGATGATAATGGTGAAATAGTCATAAATCTCAAAATAATAAGTTTTCTTCAGGGATTGTTTTGACTTACAACACCCAGCATGCACCCTTCTGCCATGAATGATTTAAAATAAATGGATTAAAATTTTAAGCCAAAACTTTATCACAAATCTATCATAAAACAAAATCAGGCAGTGAATTCATAACCATTTCATGTAATAACCTTCTGTGAAGGAGCCTTTAGAGTTAGACGTCTGGTTCCTATCACCACCACTGTGAACGATTCTCTAGACTTGTTAGTCTGTAGAACAGAGCACTTCACACCAAACCACTCTGAATGACTGTTTACAATCATTTAATTATGAAGAAAATTTGGAAAAATTGGTGGAGTTTCCCTTTAATGAGGCAGTTTTAAAGGGCCCATTTCATGGACGAAATTCCCCTTGCCTTTTTTTTTTTAAATAAAATAATTAAACATTGTTAATGTGTCAAAGCCATTAACCTACCAGTCTATACAGTCTATGCAGTCTGTTTTTGTGAGGTCACAAAAACCAAGTATTTACATATATCAGCAGTTAAACCCCACCCACTCACATTGAGGTTATTAAGATTAAGTGATTAAGTTACCCTTGTCAGTCCCACACTGGGGAAATTTCACCTCCACATTTTAACCCAGCCATGCAGTGAAACACCACATACACACTAGTGAACACACACACTAGGGGGCAGTGAGCACACTCACCCCAGGGTGGGCAGCCCTATCCGCAGCGCCCAGGGGGTTAGGTGCCTTGCTCAAGGGCACCTCAGTCACGTACTGTCGGCAGGGGATCAAACCGGTGACCTTCCGGTCACAAGGCTGGTTCCCTAACCTCCAGCCCATGACTGCCCCAACGAAATAAACCCCAACAAACCCCGATAAAGAGTGTTTTGGCCTGGATTTCTTTGAATGCAGTGCCTGTCAGGATGAAGGCCATTTACACACCTCAGTCTTAAAGACACAGGAACAATAACAGTTTGGTTCTATGGCATAAAGAGAGGTTAAAAATTGGTCATGTAAAAATGAACTATGGCTGTTTTTGGTATGTAAATCTACAAAAGCATCAAAAGTGTGTTTTCACACAAGCGTCTTCAGTTTATACTGACATATTTTCACTGTAGTTCCGTCCATAAGACACTGAATCAGGACACTAAGTAGTGAGATCTTGGCCTGTTAGTCTATTTGTGTGAAGCTATGGCCATTATTTGACTTTTATCCAACACTTTTTAGTATTTTATGGCTATAAAACTTAATATCATCATCCAAAATGCTCCAAAAAAACTGAATACAAACAAGTGACAGCTTAAAGAGAGACATTCCTGCCACCTGCTGGACGTAAGCAGTGATGCAGTGTACCATGTTACAGGTTATTAGGCCCAGTTCAGGCCTAAAAACAGTGGTTCCTAATCCCAGACTCCCATGTTCTCCACATTTTTGTGATTTATCTCATCTTACACACCTGTTTTAACTCATCAGATGATTATCCAACACTTAATGAGCTGTCAAAAGGCAGGGGTGTCCACTCAGATCCTGAAGTGCTTATGAAAAAAGTGTTCTGGCGTATAAAACAGCATGTTCGCATAGTCACCTTTAGACATTTCAACTTGAAATTTTACATACTCACCCGAGCTTATTTTCCTGGCCATGTAATACACACAAATGTCTAAATATGTCAATTAACTGCCCCCTAATTTATTTATGAGGGTGTGTTCCATCTAGGCAAAAACAAAATAAATGAATAAATAATGAAATGGCAGGAACTGAACAGGCACTGCATATTGTTACGCACTGTAATTAAAAGCTGAACTTTGTGTTTTACTCAGCTGAACTGACGCTCATTGGCCACCACATGTACGTAGCCCAGTAATTACAGCTGATCTCATGATCCTTTGTTTGGAAGCCCCGGCAAAGACTACACTTCCTCCAACAACTCAAATAAATGCTGCTCTGTCTGTTTCTATTCAACAATCACAGAACACATTCTCACCTCATCCATAACAGCCTGGTACAGTAACCCCCCCAACTAATTCGCTCCATCACAAACAAGCAGTGTACAGAGCAAAGAAAATTATCTCTGACCTCACACATCCAGCGTGCCACGTTGTTCAGCTTTTGCCCTCTGGGAGGCGCTATAGATCTCTAATACACCCAGATTCAAAACGGCTTCAGTCAGTGCCAGTGCAGTCAGTTTAGCTAGTGTAGGGCAGTCAGTGCCAATGCAGACAATGCCAGTCCAGTCAGTGCCAGTGCAGCAAATACAGTCAGTTCAGCTAGTGCCAGTGCAGTCAGTGCCAGTGCAGCAAATACATTCAGTCCAGCTAGTGCCAGTGCAGTCAGTGCCAGTGCAGCAAATACAGTTAGTTCAGCCAGTGCCAGTGCAGCAAATACAGTATATCCAGCTAGTGCCAGTGCAGCAAATACAGTCAGTCCAGCTAGTGCCAGTGAAATCAGTGCCAGTGCAGCAAAAACAGTCAGTTCAGCTAGTGCCAGTGCAGTCAGTTTAGCCAGTGTAGGGCAGTCAGTGGGACCATTGCAGTCAGTGCCAATGCAGTAAGTGAAGCCAGTGCCACTGCATGGCAGTCAGTGTAGCAAATGCCAGTACAGCCAATGCCAGTGTGGTCAGTGCCAGTGCAGTCAGTCAGTTCAGCCAGTGCAGTAAATGAAGCTAAAGCAAGCGCATGGCAGTCAGTGCAGAAAATGCCAGTCCAGCTAATGCCAGTGCTAGTGCAGTGAGTGCCAGTGCAGTCAGTGCTAGCATAGTTGGTGTTGTCATTTTGTAGTTCACCATTAGCATCCAGACACGCCGGGAGTCTAAACCGTTTTTGTATATGAATATGCACGTCTTCCCCAAATTTCAAAGTCATAAAGTAGTGGAAATAGAAATATTGCTAGATATCTGCTGCACGAAACACTGTAACCCAGAGCTCATCTGTGGGAAACGCATGTATATCAGACCAAATGTCTCAGCTTTGAGACACTTTTGTATACCACACTCCAGAGTTACGATTTGACAGAACGTGCGCCCTTATTTGGGCATCATTAAGTGACGCAAGTCCTCTGTGTTTCAAAGTAATTCAAAACTATCATAGATTTTCCTGTGTAGATGAATTTAACATTTCACCTGAAATACTTACTTGCAGAGATGCTGGATTTGCTGAGCTGTGGTGATAGGAACCAGGGGTCGCCATGACTACAGTACAAATATAGACATTTTATTTACTATCCAGAACCACCAGTGAACCCACACAAGTCTTCTGAATGTTTTATATATAGAATGTTGATGGTAAAATTGAGGCAAGCCTGTCACTGCACCTCTGAGTCATCATCTTCAGGGACAATCTACACCTCATCCACACCTCATCAGACTCACTCTGATCCTCTCCACCTTCAATCTAGCAAATCAGTACTTACACACATAGATTGACATCTTGTACATCTCATATCCATATCTTGTATAATCTGTTAGATTTCTATATCAGTGTTCTGTCCCTGTGTACCTGCATCTCATTTATTATCTACCTCAGACTCGCTGCACATCCGGAAATGTGTATAACAGTACATTTCATAGTTTTAATTCATAACTTATTACTGTACAACTGTACATCGGAATAGAGCAATACTAGTGTATATTGTGTATATGTGTATATTCAGAGTCGGTGTATATATATTTCTTTTTCTTCTTAGATATTAAGATTTTTTGTATTTAAATTCTATAAGGGGGCTACGCACCTAAGATTTTCACTCACTTTCCATCTGTGTAAATGTGATGTGACAATAAACGTGATTTGATTTGATTTTGAAATCAGTTTTCTTTGGAGACCATTCTGCCTACACTGCCCTTCATGCACCACCCCTCCACCATGGATGAAAAGTTTTAGGCCAAAATCTTCTTAAACTGTCATAAAACAGTGTCTCAGTCATCAGACAATGAATTCATAACTATTTCATATATTAACTTTCTGTGAGGAGCTTTTAGAGGTGGACGTCTGGTTCCTATCACCACCACTGTCTCTCTAGAATGACGCAGTTAAACCAAACCACTCTGAAAGACTCTGTTTACTTCTAAATGGCTTAACTATGCAGAAATTAAAAGAGGTCTTCTAGAGGCGTTTTCAGGAGGAGAGAACAGGCGCTGTAGCACTTCATAGGGGCCCCCGTGTAGGGGTTCATACAATGGCCAAAACTCCCCCAGGGGGCGCAATATAGAGGTCTTTGCAGGTTCGGTTTTTGATGCCTGCACTTGTTTGCTTCAACCACGTCACACCTGCCCGCAGCCGTGAAACCTAGTGTTGTTCCTGTCCGCACCTGCCCGTCTCATGGCCACCCACACCCACTTTGATATAGGCTGGTCCTTGTCCTCACTTGCCCACTCGCCTTTGTCATCTCTGAGAGCACCTGCCTGCTTTGATGTCTCCTCGCTCGAGCCTTAATCCTCCTGCCTAGTTCATTTGTTTCAGTGTGGTGAACAATAAATGAACAAGCCTCTAATTTAACTCTAATTTAATAATAATAATAATGAGTAAAAAAGACACTTTTTCAATTTACAATCAATGAAAAGTGGAAAGTGAAGCCAAAAAATATACAGTAAAAGTAAAAAGAGAGTAAAAACATCTTCCTATATACAGACTCAAGTATATAAAAGTAAAAAGTAAACGCTTTGACAGATAACTTGCACATTCTCTCTGTTTGGTGGTGACTAATCAGTGAAACTGGTGCTCGCACATAGTTTTGATCAGTGTCGCGTCACACTGACATGAATTTGGATGGATGTTTTACTAAAAGCAACAAAATCATGGGAAAAAAATGATAAAATTTTGACAAATTGAGATTTCAAACAAGTATAAACAGGTCATGCGCCGATTTAAA